AACAAGTTGACTGTTTGGCCACTCCACTTAGGACGTGAGAGTACTCGCTGCAGCTACGGCTGAGCATCTACGAGTGTTTATCAGTTCCTTCAGGTTTGCTTCCCCAGTTTCTGGACTTGAGTCACTTTGGGGGTTTGCACCAGTTAGCTATGATTTTTACTTGGGAACACCCTCCAAAGTGGTTGGTGGACAAAAAAGCCCGCAAATGTGATGTCCACGAAAGTGTGGCCAATTCAAAATCATACCAATTTCAGTGGTGAACAAAAGATCTAGACTTGTTTCGGCCAGGGGGTGGGCCGGTTTTTGAGTCCTGAGTGGATTTGGAAAGACTGATTCATCGAGTTCACGAGCGACCGACTTTTGACCGGCTGTTGCTGCTTCTTAGAGGTGGTTTCCTGGATCAGCCCTTCGTCTAGTCGTTCTGACCGTTTGAACAGTTCATACCCTTGAGAGATTCGTTCCATCGAGATCTCCTGGGAGGACATCGGTAGGCCAACACTGTTTGGCCTGGTGCGCGGGTTTTTGGAGCAACCCGGGTCTAGGTACTCCATATGCCCTTTAGTGCCTTTTTTTGGGGGCCAGAATGGGTGGTTGGCCGTTTAGCACAACCCCAGAAAGGGTACTTCAGTACTTCCAGATTCCTCTACTTCATTGCTGTTTGGTTAGGTCCTTTAGGCCAAGGCCCGACCGCATTGAAGAAGAAGAACGCGAAAGGCTTGGGCTAGGCTTCTTTTGGAAGTCAAGATCGCAGCTTCACCTCCAAGGCGCAAGGCTTTTGGTTTTTGGTTTTGATTTTGGATCATGGCTGCTTTTTTCGGTGACCAGGTGCAGCAACCCACTCTGAGTATCTCTGAGTTGCTCGGGCTTTGCGGGGAAGTGCGGGGGGCTGGGCTGAAGGATCAGAAACGGGGCTTCAGCAACCCCGGAAGTTCCTGCCATGTCCTGCCCGACATATGGCGTCGCAAGCTGGATGGAAGCCTTAGACTTGAGCTGGACACGTCACCTTGCGGGTCAAGGACGCCCAGTGGGCCTTTTTGCCCTTCTGATTTGCTCCTTGGTCTTTCCTCCAGTACCAGTAGTGCCCTTTTACCCTCTTTTGGGGGAGGGTTCCCCTGCTAAAGTAGACTACAGAAAAAAATGGTACCCTTATTCTAACCTCTCTACTGGAGGACTTAGTTTTTCTTCCTGGACAGCGAGTCTTAATATCGAGGAAGCTGTGCGCCTGCACGTTGGGCCGTCCCTCATCCCCTTGGATGGTTTATCGGTGGCGCCTGGTTTATTGGTGGCGCCTTAAAGTCTGCTTGCAACCGGCTTGGTTTCTCTTCTTGTCTTCCTAACTTGGTGTTTTTGTTGGTGTTTTTCTTTCTCCCCCCCACCCAGCCTTGCTGACAGCCCCAAGGGTTTGCTGTTTCAGCTTTGGGGTTCAGTTTGGCGGGAGCACAGGCTGCCAGCCTTATCCCAGTTTTGTGTTTTCGTGTTGTTTAACGGATCGCGCAAGCATTTCAATCAAGTTGCGTACCTTGCATTGAGAAACGGTGTCAGAACCCCAAAATGTTGGGTAATGACCCCATTATTAAAGGGTTATGGAGACTCCAGGCAGTTTAGCGTCACAACGCTATGATTCATTCTGGTTGCATAAAATGTGGGGATAGGGTCCCTGGTTCGTGGCGAGCATGTGGATCTTCCCACTAACCAGTAACAAGTTCATATTTTTGGTTCAAGGGCATCCAGACTGCATGCACCCACGTTGCTTGGGTATGTCACCTTGTGGGGAATGGGGTGTGAACCAGCATTTTACTTTGGACATTATTTTCAGTATACATAGAACACCTTGTCAAGGGCGTCAACAAGCAAACTGAACAAGTCGCAAGGGGCAAAAGGGGGCAAACAGAAGGTCGGCGAAAGGCGGGTTGTCCCCGCAAGTCTCCCCATCTTCTGTTGGTTGTTTTGGTGATGTTTCATTTGTTTCGGCGCCTTGAAACCCGAGCATTTCGAAAGAACGCTTTGCTTCAGTCAGCTAAGCAGGGCTTCCGCCTTTGGTCCCCTTCGCCAGGGATCGTTTGCAAAACTAGTGATATTTTGGGGTCCGTCAAATGAGCCACGTGCTCAAAACCTGGGTAGATGAAGGTTAGTAAGGGACGATCCCAACCAGAAATAGTTGCGGAATTCCGCCTTCTCAATGCTTGAAACATGGTTCTGGGTAGACCATTTTGATACCGGGTTTTGATTGTGACTCAACTGTGGAGCAGAATTCAACATACTTTGTGTAAACAAGTCCGCCGCCGCGTTTGTCCATCCCAACTGGTGCGACGTGGAGTCTGTCCTTCTGCAGTACCCCAACCCAAAGACCCGACAGTTTTTTTGCAAAAGCGCAAATATGATCATGTGTGTCCAACTGATCTTAAGCCATCCCGAATCCAACATTCTAGGGGTGAGTCCCCATTATTTTCAGCCATCGTTCTTTTCAAAAACCAGCCATTGCCCCAGGTGTTTTGATGGTTTTTTAGAAAGAAGGATCCCTGGAAAGAATGGGGAAATTACCCCTAGAAACATATGGTTTCGGCCGGGATTTTGTTTTTACTTCTTGGCTCGTGAAAATCTGGCTGAGGAGCTACCGGTGCCCACGGAGATGCCATCCCCTGGAGTACCAGGAGCTGCCATCTCGGCTGTCGGCCAAAGGGGCCATGGCTTCGAAGATGTTAATCTAGGGGAGTTGGTGGTTTGGATTGGTGGCTTGGGGATTTGAACCCCTGGTTCTCGTGGGTAAATGGGAAACTCCTCCTTCACGAACACACCACCAATTCAATCAAACCCTTCGTCTAGGGGTTGATTCCTTGTCCATTCTTGTCAACCATCGTTTTTTTTCAAAAACCGGAGCTGTTTCCCTGGGTTTTTGATCCCTGGAAAGAACGGGGAAAGTAGCCCTAGAGTTTGGGTGTGGCTCAAAATTAAACGATCGGAGGGGCAAACCGCAGGTTGGTCCATGTTTCCACTCACCGATCGGGCAACCCATTTCGGAATTCCGGTTTGTTGAGCCACAGCCACATGTTCAGAGTAAACAAGGCACCCATTGGTTTGGTTCTGAGGGAATAGGGCAATGACCCGCATGAACCGTTTTCCGAAACTTGGGGATCCCCTTCCGGTTCATTCCCAAAACCCTTGTTGATTCTGTACTCACGAAGCCTGAGTTCATGGACTTGAGTCACGTTTTGGGACGGTTTTAGATGCAACAAGTTTGGGAGCTTTTTTGGGCAATCCACTCCGAAAGTGAGATAGGGAGAACCCTCAAAATGGTGCTGTGTCTTATCTCGCATGCCCGAAGCTGGCCTTTTAGCCTTTTGCTGTCCCCTTTTGGTCCACTTTGAGTAAAATTCCCAAAATGTTAGCCTTGTATTTCTGGGTCCTTTGGGCAACTGATTATGTTGTCTGTTTTCTCGGTTTGGCTCATACATGTTTACCACAACAATTTGGATTCACCAGTTGGCTTCAAAGGAAATCGTCTGAAGCATGTGAGTCGGGCATGCTAAATAGATGTATCCTTTTGAGCATCAAGCAGATCGGCTTTACCGTGGGTCAAACCTTTGATGCCGTCCCAGAAGGCGTAGTGCGAATGGTAACCCCCCCTTCCCATCCATAACAACCCCAAGTGATAGGGTGTTTTGACCATGATATATATATATATATATATCTAGGTAAGGGGACTCAGAGGGCTTTGGTATGAACATCTCAAGGCTGTACTAGCGGAGTTTTGGCTTGTCCTTGGCTATTCAGGGATAGCGGCTAGCAAGTATCGCGCCCCCACGACTCACCCCCTCGAAGGTCCATGACTCGATTGCATAGGGACCCTTTAAAGTCTGAAGCCAGAACAATCTTTGCTTTTCCCAATAGGACACCTAGGCTTAGAGCACTTTTCAGAAACCATACTTCCTTCTCTGAGGTGTTTTCTTGAATATTGATATCAAGCAATCAGCGACCCTACCACCCATCCCCAAAGACCCTACCGGGAAAAACATGTCGTAATACGGCTTGATACATGCTTCAACATTGGCAGGGGCTTTTCGCAATTGAGGGTGGTTTCTCTGGCGGGGGGGGGTTAGATTGCAACCCAATCCACTCCCCATCGCAAGCCACCCGAATCACCAAAACCACCGGGCTCCAAACCACCGAAGGAGTGGACGGATTTCGCGTTTTTGGGGCAACCGTTGCGACCATGCTTGGGGGTTTGCACCCCAAAATGGCTTCGGTTCCTCTTGGTTTCCCTTTCAGACCACTCGACAATTTGAAGACTCACCCCAAAATGGCGGTGTTCCTCTTGGTGTCCCATGAAAAAGGAAGCCACCAAAACAGGAACATTTGATCCAACTGAGTCTGGTTGCACAGACCATTTCAGCACGCCAGGATCGGCGACGCCGGAGCCCACAGTGGCGGTGCCTCAATTCGTCCAGGAGGGGCAACACATCGCCCGTTTCGAGACGCGGGACATTGGAGCTACTGTGATGGACGAATTATTTTTCGCAGAAACCCCGGAATGACGAATCCCCGGTAAATGTCAACACGCTATGGTTGCCCATGGTCTCAAGTGGTGCAGGATTCGGTCCATCCACAGTATGTCCCACTTGGGTAAGATGTGATGTGTCTCTGATGTTCCAGAGCACCAAGAACATCAGGCTTCCTTTTGCCGAATGGTGTTTTATTTCCTCCTGGTAAAGGAAATCAATCGCTGGACATATGTTCGCTATTGTCCAGGGGACTTGAATGGAGGTGTGAAGGTCATTGGCCGACATGGGCTCGTGTTTTTGTCTCAAAATGGCGAGTTCCTTCTGGATGGTTAACAGGAAACCCGCAGGAACCAACCAGTTTTGGGTCCTCATTTTTGGAGGCACGCCCATTTCATGTTTGGTAGACATGCAGGTGGTTGGAGGATGAATTCTGATCAAGGCTTTACGAAGGGGGGTCTCCTTTTGAGACCCCTCTTTTTTAGGGAATTGAAGGGACACAAGCGTTGCTGTTTTTGGAGAGAGCCTTACGAGTCCGCTGGTTGAAAGCTGGCGGACTACATGACGAGTTTTCTGAGGGAGACCAACAGTTCACCAAGAGGGCGTAATGTGCCAACATGTTCAAATAAAGAAATATCTATAATATATATATATATATATATGTTCTGTCCCCTTGGTCCAAACACTGGGAGTCTATGGCGATGTGTTTTTTTTGCATTTTGGGGGGGCTGCTTCCACCATGGGCCTTACGGACACCTTACAAAGGGAGTTCCTGGCGGAGAGGAGGGGCTTGGGTTTCATGATCAGACAAGCTTAGCTGGGTGCCAAATGGCCTGACGATGGTGTTCCCATTGGGGAAGCACCAGTGGGATAGCATGATGAATGATTGCTTCGTCTTAAAAAACAAAAGAGAGAGAGAGAGAGAGAGAGAAAAAAACAGAAAATGGTTATTACCCCCCCCCAAGTTCGCTATTTGTCATCCAGGTTGGCAAGGGGCTGCGCATGAAGGGTTGGCAACATGGTTTACATTCCTTCTTGAAAGATATGTGTTGTGCCGCTTTTGAGCGTTCTCCAACTGGAGCAACGGCAGAAATGTTGGACGCAGGATACCAAATGCTTCAGAGCTTGTCCTGGAACTTTGGTTTCCTCCCTGGGAATTCTACAGGAAGTTTTTGTTTTTTTTTGGCGCCGATTTCCTGCAGCCGGTGATTTTTTGTTCCCCATTCTTCACCCATGGTTCTCTTCGGACACCCAGGATCCCAGACCTTTGGCCCATTTTTTGAAGAGAAGGACCCCTGAGAATGGGGAAGGTACAGCTGGGTTTCTCTTAGTTCTGCCGTTAATTTGGAACCTGGGGCACCTCACACCTCCATGTTCCTTGACCCGCGCAGTGGCAGCCCTTTTTGACTAGGTCCCCCTGCCCTTTTACCCTTTTTTGGGGGAGGGTTCCCCTACTAAAATAGACTACAGAAAAAAGGATGCCCTTATACTAACCTCTCTACTGGAGGACCTAGTAACCTAGTTGAGTTTTCTGCCCAAAAAGTCCCCGGCTGCTCAAGAATCCGTGGCCTGCCAGGATCCCACAGAGCCGGCTGCCAGCGCCCCGGGACCAATCCGCAAGCGCTAGCAAGCCGTGTTGGGCTGGACGCATCGCACAGGTTTGGAACTGGCTTGGAATTTGGTTTGGACTTGGTTGTCGTTTCTTTTCTTGACCCAAAGAAAACGGATCGCACGTTAGTCGCAAACCAGCGCGAGACAATGAGATGGGGATGCAGACGGCCCATCTTTCGCTTCGAGGTCACGGAACCTTTGAGCTTGGGGCCGACGGAGGTTCATAGGTACGGAGTGGTTTGGGCCGAGAAATGAGCAGACCAAACTGCGGGAGTGACAATGAACCATTTCTGGTTGCCCGATTACACGTGCCCGAAGCCCCGGAAAAGAAGCCTGCTCAGGAGCAACTTGCTTCATAGCAGCTTGAGAGTTCAACCACGAAAAGCCAGGGGACAGCCCTAAATGTTCCCATTCTCGGCTAAAGCCAGCGCTTTCTTGTTAAACAAAAAGCAAGGTTTGCAGGTGAAAGAGTTCGTTCCCGAAGCCCGGGAAGCCGATCAAATTGAATTTGAGCCAAAACCATTCCCACTTTTTCCCCCTTTCCCAAACCCCGAAACCTCAAGTAGCAAGAAACAAACTAATTGCTGTTGCTAGAGAACTAGGTTCTAGATACCCAAGCTTTTCGTAATTCATGGGTTGCTCCCACCAAAGATCTTAGCCCTGAGAACCGGCAAGAAACGAGATGTGCCCCCTTTGTGGGTTGGTTTGCAGGGAAACGAAGAGGAAACACCACCATTTGAGGAGCCCCCAATTTGTTAAGGAAGCCTGCTACATGAAATTATCCAGAAAAACAACTTGCTTTTGGTGCGTATGTGGAAATCCATTTTCCTTTAGAAAGTGTAGCTGGTTTATCAGAGCAACCCAACACCTCTTTTTGGTTCTCTTTTGTTTGATCCTCCTTTTTCTCAGTTGTTCAAAGCCGACCTTTCGACCTTTTGGTTTTCCCATTTTGGTCTATTTTTAGTCATGGCCCCAAAAGGTTAACCTTTTAGTTCCAGGTCCTTTGGGCGACTGAGTTTTGGGTGGCCCTGGGGTGGCTTTGGGGGGTCGGATTTTGAGACCACCCCTGTCGCTCGCTCTCGAGGTCACCAGCAGCGCGGAGCGCACCATGACGGCGCCTTCAGCGCCTTCGGGGCTCAGCACTCATCCGAGCTTGGCGCCGCCCGGGCACCCGGACACCCGGACACCCGGACCTCCCGGATCTGGACGTTCGTGGACCTGGGTATGGGTCAAAAAAAATTAGCCGCCAGGAATTGGACCGCAGGCTTTCGTCTTTGGTTCCATTTACCGGGTTCGATTTTCGGTACGCTTTTGACCCACAGCCACCTAAGGACAGAAGTTGATGCACATGGAAGCCTAGGTCCCCCAGCTCGGTGCCAACTTTTGCCGTTTCTTTGTTGGGAGGGAAGTTGGTACCAACTTATTCTAACCTCAACAAATTGGAGGACCAAGACATGGAAGTACCGTGCGAAGGCGGCTGCCACAGAGGCAAGGAGTAACAAAGAACAGGATGTGAATTGATGCAACACTCCTGTCCACGTTGCCATAAAACCCACCAAAAATTTCCCATTTGAAGCAATATGTTCCAAACCAATCAACCAGGCCCCGTCAGCGAGGTTCCATGGCAACGTGGACAGGAGGGTTCACCTTATGTTTGCTTTGGTTCCTTAGTCTTCATTTCTTTATTGCTTGTTTATCCTCTGGCTGGGGAAGCATGGGAACAAGTTGGCTGAAAGTTGGCACGATTTCCCCAAAGTGGTATTGCTCCCATGGTAGAGTGGTATGTAAAGTTGCCAACATGGGTGTTAGTATTTCGGGGGGTCTCCCCCGCAAAGCTGCTTTTTTGTTGTCAGAGCGGACATCTATAGAACATAATCAGAGTATGTTGTTTGTGTGCTCCAGTTGTATGGTATGCTATCCCGTAGTTCGTTTGGATCGGTGGTGTGTGTGTTGCTAAAACAACTCCCCAGCTACAACTCAGTTGACACGAACTGGGGAAGGTACGGGTGGCCAGACACCTACAGCAGTGAGGGTCGCCTTCGACCCGGAGCCGAGGACCTCCCCCGCAGACCTGCCGGTGCCCACCCAGAGGCCATCCCCGAGCTCCATGCGCTTCGAGGAGGCGGATGGGCGCTTGTGGCGTGGTGCTTAAGGTCCCCCCAGAAATTGGTGCCCTCTCTCACCGTTTCTTTTTTGGTTGGGAGGGTTCAAACCTACTAAAATCGACAAACCAGAAAAAGGGTACCAACTTATTCTAGCCTCTCTACTGGAGGGCCTAGTCAAGGTGGTGGTGCTGTTCGTTTGGTGGTGATATCTGTTTGAAGGTGTTGCTATTTTTTTCCTCTGGGTAATCCAAAAAAGGAACGCGGTATGGAAAGATGAGGAGGAAGTCGGGGAACAATTGGGAGATTTCTTCGCAACATCTTCTTTTTGTGGTTGGTTAAAGGCACACACGTAAGGGAAAGCCAACATCTGCGTGTGTGTGTGTGTGTGTGACGTGCCCCATTTCTTGTTGGAGGAGCGTGCGGCCTGGGCTTTACGCCTTGAGCCAGAGCAAGAACCTATGTGGTTGGTGGGGTTTGGAGGGTATCCCAACTGGGGGAAATATGGGTTTATCGTTTTGTTGGGGGAGCCAGACCCCGGACCCTAAAGACCCCTTGGGACCCTAACCATTACAGCTTTCTGACTCAGTACTAGTTACAATCAGGTAATCCTCACTTGGTGGTTCAGGATTGGTGCTTCGGATTTGAGCCGCTGGTTGTTGTAGCAGGTAGATGTGAAACCACACGCTACCGTCCAAACCAACAATTGGGGAAACTGATAAGGTTGTTGCTTGCTGGACATCTTCAGGCCAGCCGCCCAGCCACTGGACACTGGCGTGGAGATGATTTACAGCCTTCCAAAGAGATGCATGTTTTTGTTCGGGGTACGTTTGTTTAGATCGGTTCAAGGGACATTCACACGGAAACCAATCATTGGTCTGGGTCCCCCGAAAAAGCCACAACCCCGTTTTATTCTGGAAGAATCACGCAATCCATGGCTTTTTTTTTCTGGATTTCTTTCAACTGGGTCAATGTTTGGGATTACTGTGGTCAAAGTAAACTTCGCATCTCCCCATGAATACAGTAACCCACCACCCCAGACCCCCCATGAAAGGAATCCTGATCCTGGGAGGGATATACTCAAAAGGTATGCTCAAAAATTCTTGGAACCCGCCAACTGGTGCGAAGTGGATGGTCGCAGTACCTCAGTACCAGGACCTCAGTTGGGTTGCCCGGGAACCCTTGGTCTTGAGAACGGAAGTGCCTGGATCTTTAGGAAAGTGACTGATTCTGGACCACCGTTTAGGTATCTACAAGGAAACCAAAAGGAAGCCAGCCATTGTTTGGGGACCACTGCTTGGAAAGAACCCCATGTGCTGCATAGATGTTGTGCTCGTTCAACTTGGGCCTTCGGCAGTGCCCCTGGGTCCGACCCAGTCAGTTGCTTCCTTTGTTCAACTTCTTGAGAGAGGCCAGCCACCAAGAATATGTATCCCCAGCCCCAAAACCCAACAACCCTCCGAAACCCTGCCTGAAAGCAGCCCCAAACCACCCCTTGTCGCCATTCTGGGCAGATAGCTCTCATAGTTTTCGGCGGTTGTGGAACATTCGGCCCTTGTTGTTTAGTGGCTTCCTCGGGTTTTTTAAGGCGTCAACCTCAAGTCGGGTTCCTGTCTTTGTCCATGGCGCATTCGCGCATTCGGGTAGGCGATGCCCCCGGTCTCAGCTCTCTCAGGCAGGGCTCCACCAGGTTTCTCGCGTTTGGGTGGACCTGCCGCTACTCCGTGCCGCAAAGAAATGAACAGCACGAACCTAACGAGGGGGTCCACCCAAGAGGGGATTCTTATGAACATGATGTGCTTGCTTGTCATCTTAATCCAGCATTCGCTTCGAGAGACTGGAATGGTCTGCGGAAGGCATTCCTTGCCATCCTTCACAAACTCAATTCGCATAATTTGCAGCACCCGAGCGAGGCGCACATGGGCAGAGCTTGTGCCAGGAAGAGGGAAGCCAAGCCGAGCCAAAGGCGTCCAGAATCCAAAGCAGAGGTTCCAATTCCCAAAGCACCGATGCAAACCACTAGTCTTCCACGTGCTTAAGTATATGTCTGGATTCTTCCCTGTTGGTTTTCAAGGGAATCTATCACGAGTTGCAATATGTTTATTTCTTCCATGACGCTTAAGCAAACGGAGGTGGTTCGACGCAAGCCGCGCCAAGCTGCCTGCAGTTCCCAGCCTCAAGCCCTCGGATCCTGTCGGCTTCTCGCTAGTCGAGAAGCCGCTCGAATCGTCGAATGGCGGAGCGAAGGGACATCCAGCGCCTGGATGATGTGAGTTTCGGAACCATCGTGCAGGCGAGGAACTCCAACTCAGTCTTTGATTTGGGATTGTTCAAAAGGGAACTAGTGGGAAAATCACTATTTTGTTAGGGTCCTTTTTTTTGGTCGACACACCCGACAATTGTTAACCATCTTCTGGTGAAGGGCAATGTTTTTTTTGGTTTTAGCGCCATCTGGATACCAAGGGAATTCCCTTGAAATAAAAAGTAGTTCTGGGGATGCCTTATCACAACTGTCCAAGTGGCAAGGAGATCGAGGGGAGACCGGGTTGGTCCTTTCAACATGTCTTGGAGGGTAAGGTCGAGGGATGGGTGCATCCGAGGTTACGGCTAGTAGATTACTTGAATGTCGCCTTTTGGGCAAGATCAGAAGATGAAACATAGGGAAGCCGGTCACCTTAAAATTCCAATCGACCTCTAAGAACCTTTTGGAAAGGAGGTGTTCCAAATCACATATGGGTGTACCAAACTTTGGCCGCGGCTTCCAGCACCATGCCCCAGGACCACAGCCATAAAATACTCCAAGTCACGCCGACTCAAGGGGTCAAATGCGTACACTGCGCCAAGGATGCGATGTCGATGTCTCGTTTTAGGGGACCTCAGAAAATGCTTGGTTTCCGGTTGGTTTTTTTGTGCAAATTAAAACAAAACACCCCCATAGAAGTGCAATAACATGTCATTGCAGGAACCCCCTAAAATGGCTGATTTCCTTTGTTTCCCTAGCAAGGCTTTCTTGGGGTGCTATCAAAACAACACCCAAGTAGGTTGACTCTGCAGGTTTATTCGTAGGTCTACCTCGCTTGATCGGGCAGAGGTCTCAAACCAATCCTTTGCTGGGTGCAACGGGCGGTGCGGTTGCATGGGCACCGCTCAGCGAATCAACCGGATCTGACCTTTTGGTTTCCCCGTCCATGCTCAGAAACCAACAGCTTAACCTGTCATGTTCATTTCCAGGTGCTTTGGCAGTGATGTTGTCTTTCCTGGCATGATTGCACGTGTCATTTGTTCATGATGCCTGTTGATTGATGTGTCACTGTCTTCATGTTTGCGTATTCACGTGTTTGCTCCATTCGCTTCGGTCAAAACCTGGGTAAAGGTTAGGGCCAGCCCCAATAGGTGCAGCAAGAGGCCCTTTAGCTCTTCGCCCTTTAGGGTCAACCACTTTGTGGTCATGTAATCCTATTACTAGGCCTCCAAAAGTGGTCTGAATCCCCACTTTTTAACCCCCAAGAAAACTATGGGCTCCCAGCCATCCCCTTAGCCTTTTAGCTTTTTTGTGTTTAGTGGTAGTTTCCATTTATCCCACCCAAAGTCTTTCTCACTCTTCGCGGATCCGAACAACGGGCAGAGCTTGACCCAATCCTAGCACCACTCGCCCGCGTTTTTGTTCCGCCGGCGAGGCCGCGGGCTCGGCGGCGGGGAGCTTCGCGAAGCGGCGGCCCGTGGGCGTCTCGCTCTGGGCGCTGGGCTTGTTGCTGGCCTCCTTCGCCAAGGGCTTCACGGTGGACCAGGTCACCGAGGAGCGTTGAATTCGGAATTCGCGCCACGGAGAAAGCGCGACGGAAGAAGGGAGGAGTTTGAAACTAAAACATAGGTTCAGATTGAAACTCGTGTTATTTTGTTAGTTTAAAACCATAAACCAAGCTTTTTTAATTCAAAAACTGTTCATGCTCAACTGCAAAGATTCAAAATATATTATTGTTTTGTTTAACACGTGTAACGGAGATTGCACATTTATTCATTTTATTAAGATCATCATAGTAATATCATTACAATACAATATTCAATTATTATTAGTACAACATTATAATTAAAATAATTACTTAAATTATATTTTAACATTAAATTAATAAACATATAATAATAAGAATATTAAATAAATATTATTAGTTACATATTAAATTGTCAATTTGCGGATAAATAAAATATGTTATTAATAAACTCCTGTTTATTAATAATATGGGGGTGTTCCCCTGCAAAAGTGATAAATCCAAACACAAAACCCGAGTAGATGAAGGTTAGTAAGGGCCAGTCCCAGCCATAAATAGTTGCGGCCGCCTTCTTAATTCTTTACATGGTTCTGGGTAGACCATTTTAATACCGGGCTTGGATTGTGACTCAGTTAATGTTGACCCCTGATGAATAAACCCCTGTTTATTAGTATGGGGGTGTCCCTTGTTTTAGTGGGGATTCATCACTTCTCGAGATATGGGGGCGTTGCCCTCCAAAAGTGATAAATCACCACTAAAACCAGGGACCCACCCTTATTAACAAACAGGGGTTTATTACTCCGGGGTCAACATTTTCAGAAACTGAACAGGGCTCCCCAGATTTTTGAGAAGCCGAGCATTCGAGCTTCATTTGGGGGCACCTAGACGAAACCCAGGCCGAAATTTGGAGAAGTCGAACTTAGTGAGGTTTGAGGGAGAAAAAAAAGAGGAAGACAAGCAAGCAGCAAGGTCTTGGGAAAGGAACCCGTCCCCAAAAGCCAAATCCTTCACAAGCGGCAAGCCAAAGGCCTTTGGCCTTTGGCATCCCGACCCCCCCGAGCCAGGCTGGGCAAGAGCCGACTCGTCCCAAACGACTATGATTCAACCTATCCAACTGGTGATCTTTGGGGCTGGGGGGGCTTGGAGCGCAGAAACCTGTTTTTGTTTTGGGACCGCCATCTTTCCTATGGATGGTTCTGGGGCCCTACAGCGGTTTGTAAACACCTGGGCCGATGGTCACCTTTGCATCAGGAGACCTACTTCCTAGGCGTCAGGGACGCGCAGAAGGTGCGAGACTCGGAGCTGAGCAAAGCCCTGCACGCCTTGGACAGGGCGGAGAGCGGCTTGGAAGAAGTCAGGTTGGCTTTTCGATTCGGAGTTGCACTGGTTCTCGTAGAGGAATGGCAACCCAGCCTGACCCTCAATCCAAGCCACTCATTTAATTGGAAGGATGAGAGAAGGAAACGGGCTCACGAATGGGGAAGCTCACTAAATCAACTGCTTTTCTTTGCAAAAGTTCAAGCATGGGTTTTGCCCAAAAAAGTCGGGTTACCTAACAGGAGGGGTCTACCCAGCCCGCAAGCCTCTTTGGAAGGCCAACTGAGTTTGGGGCGGAAACTCTGCGTGTTTTTTTTTTTCCCCAACTCTTTGGTGTACTAAGTCTAGGTCCCCCCAGCTAGGTGCCCTTCTCTCCCCTTTTTTGGTTGGGAGGGTTCCCCTACTAAAATAGACTACAGGAAAAGTTGGTGCCCTTATTCTAACCTCTCTACTGGAGGACCTAGAAGTGTTGATGTTAGCGGTTTTCTTTGTGCGAATACAAATGGTCGAAGAATACTCGGAACCCCGACTTGGGCACACAATTCATGGATATGTGCCTTCCTGGAGTCTCCATGACCCTTTTAAACATGAAGTCATGACCTGTTGATTTTGGGAAATGACCAACCATTTCTTTTCTAGGGGTCAGAAGGAGACTCCACCTTGAAGTTCGGGAGACAAAGGAGACAAAGCAGGAAACAAAGGAAACGCGCGCGATGTGGCCTGTTTGGGGGACCGCGGGGATGCGGCCGGCTCAGGGACCTACTACAACTCCAAGGGCTGGTTCTGGCAGTGCGACCAGCGCTGCATGCAGAGCCTCGCAGAGAGAGCTATTTAAGCGATCAAAGCCAGGGTAGATAGAATGTGCCTTTCATCCCTGAGGCGAAGAATGCCATTCCGGGCTTCTCGCAATGGATTCCCAAAGTTACGACTCGACCATCGGCTCCCATAGAAATTGATGAGATTTTGGTCATCGAAGAACCCGAAGAAGGAGAGAAAGGGAAGCAGCCAGAAATAAGTGCGGCCGCCGTGTTTTTTTCCTTACATGGATTTGGGTAGACTATTTTGATACTCAGACTTGTGTGTGTGAGGAGGATACCCAAAGTTACCCAACACACAGTAAGGGCATGCAGTAGCCAACCGAAGAAAGATAGCTTGAACATGTTGCTTGTTTCGTAGCTCTTTCTTTAATCGCCCGTACTCATAAATGTGTTTTGTGCTTGTTCTATGCAAGCACTCGCGGAATCACCTACTTCTAAGGGTTGATTCCCCATTCTCTTTACCCACCGTTCTCTTCAGAACGCCCTCTTTCCCATTTTCCGAGTGGCTTGGCCGATCGTTTGAAGAAAGGATCCCGAGGAAAATGGGGAAGGTAGGGCTAGAACCAGTGCCATCTCCTCTAAAGAAGCACCTAGGATTGTGAGATAAAGCCAGAAGGTACAGTTAGACTGGCAGTTCATGTCCTGACCGCATGCCCACACTCGACCTGGTCTGCGTCACTTGGTCATGGACATTCTATAGGCTCTATGTGTCAAGATAGGGAGACCTCCAAATGCACTTTGCTTTCCTTGAATTTCCGTTTAAACCGCCAAAAAGATTGTGCCGGTAGAATTCAATCCCTTTCGCTGTTAAACAAAAAAAAGATGAGTCACAGTTAAAACCTGAGGGTTTCCACTACCCCCAATCCACTACCCGAAGAAAGCATAGAGACGTGCTTGTTTTTGCATACGGCTATATAGTTGCTGAATACCCCGCCTGTTCCTTCAGCCAAAGGCTGATCAAAGGAGCATTACAACCCTGATACATCCGACATGTTCCAACATGTATCACACCAAACCAAAATGGGTTCTCTCAACAAGACACCCCAGCTGGCATCCAATCTCGCGCACGAGGAACTATGACAAGTATCAGATGGCAAAGGAAGACACTGATCGAGTCCAGCGCAAGGTGGACAAGATCATGCAAGATGCCAGGCGGGAATTTTCCAGCCCTTTCCGGGATCCAAAAGGAAGAGAGAGACAGAGAGGCCTTACAAGGCCCTCAAAAAGCTTTGTTTGGGGGTGAGGCTCACTTAAACCCGGGCCCGCGAACCCGTTGGGGGGTGGGCGGCAGGCACCTCATACTTATCTGGATCCGACCAGGGCCGTCAGAGGTAAACCTTATATGTTATTAAGTTTCTTTGGGATAGTCAAGTTTAAGTTTCCTTGGCAACTATCCTACAATTTTTGAAGTTCCCCAAACGAAACCACATGCGCTTTTTGTGTGTATGTTTTGCCTTTTTCACACGTTCTTGAAACATCCCCTTCAACCCACGAACAGGCACCGCTGTTGATGTTACATGACAAACATCACAAAAACAAATGAACAAAAAATGGGCCAGAACTTAGACAACAACTCTTTGTTTTGAGGGCAACCATTAAGTGTTGTTCAGCACCCAGCATCCCAATTTGCCAACAGCCCGAGGCTCCCACTTATAGCTTTATAGTACACGGGTGACAAATCATTTACCACTAGTAGCTTGCCCGCCCAGCGCAGGATTGGGTGGAATGGAGGTGGTCCTTTGCTTCCTATGGTTGTCAAGAGCCTCCAATTCAAAGGGACACCCCTTGAACGGCCCCAACTGTTCTGGCGAAGGCTGAGCCGTTTTTGGATGCTTAGAGTTCGGTTCCCCCTTTTTTGGGGGTCCTTGACCATGGAGTTGCTCCTCTTTCTGCAAAGAGGGCTCCCCAGCGACTCGCGCCAGGCAAGAGGTGGGCATCTGGTCCTCCTTTGGCGTCCAAGAGGCCGGGAAAACTCGGGCAGCTAGCTCGTAGAATCTCTTGGAGTGGGTGTCTTGGACAAAGTTGTACGAATGCAAGGTAGACTGTACTCAACCCTTTTGACGTTTTGGTGTTCGGATGTGGTGCATTTTAGTCATGGGCCCAAAGGGTTAACTTGTATTTCTAGGTCCTTGGGGCAACTGAGTGTATTGGGGACCCTGCTTTGTTCGATTTCGCTGACGGCCGAGTTCCGAGTTCCGAGTTCCTCGGTCGCTCCTGTGAGGTGAGAGGCAAGTTTTGGGCTGCGTGGCAGTCTGGCAAAGACCTAGCGATGAGATACACGATGATGGATGCCGTGTTCATGATGATAGGCGGCAAGGAGGAGACACTCGTCTCCGTTCTCCTCAAGCTGGCCTTTCAATATGCGGTAAACTTGACCGTCGGCTTCTTGACTGGAATCAATTTGTACACACGTTTCCTTGTTGTCCAGCCGGCGTGTCCTATCAAACAGTCCCAACATGAGCTTTTCCTTGGGAAGCGTCACTACATTCTCCCATTTGGAGCTTGCTTTCCACAAAGACCCATGGGAGAGGCTTCAACTCCAATTGGAGAAACAGCGAATTGGAGCCCGTCTTACAGATTTAGCCAGCATCCCATGAGAAAAAGACACCTTGGAGGCTTGGTCTCGGCGTTCTTCTTCTTTATGTATCATGTGTACTCCCTCCTGGTGAATTATGGGGAGCCCATGATGTCTGGTCTCGCCTTCTTCCTGCTGGTTCTGGTGGCTGCAGCGTCTCTGATCGGCACCTACCTGATAACCATGCACCCCGTCCAGTTAACCCGCTGTTTGTTTCCTTAGGTTTGTCCTGCTTTGCACGTTGCTTGCTTTGATCGTTAGTTGTTGGAAGTTAATTGTTCTTGCTTGTTGCTGTGCATGTGTTCTGTTGTTCGTGGTGTTTGTTTGATGTGTTGGGCAGGGTCATCGAGCAACTGAGATTCGCGGAACTTGTAATGTCCCCCACGTGTTGGAGACTCGTGACCTCGAGCGACCAAGATTCAATTGGCTGTGGGTCAAAACCAATGGTACCATTTTGGGGTAGGTGCACCACTCATTTAGTCTATTTTAATGAGGATTTGGGATGCTCACTGGGGGTACGGGATTTTGGCCCATGGCCAATTCCTTTCTGGAGTGTCCGTTCTTCTTTGTTCAGGTCGCTGGATATATTCTCAGAGAAAATTCACAAGATTGGCGCTGGGGATTCCCTAAGGTGGCCATTTGGTCCAAGCCTAAACCTGAGGAAGAGTGCAATTCAAGTCTGGACCAAAAGGGCGCCCTGATTTCAAAGAGGATTCGGAAGTGTCTCACAAAAGGCGGAGGCTCTTTTTGAGTAGTAAGCCCTGGTTACATCTGGAAGGATTGTTGCAGGGATCCCACAGACCAAAGAAGCGGGTTGGGGGGGTGGGCTCGAGGGGCATGGCCCTACCCTCCCCCCCATCCTCCGAGAGTGTCACCGTACCCTGAAAATTATGCGAGATTTGGGTCCCTGGTTGTAAATTTGTGCCACCAGGTGGTGTGGTTGGGTCCGTGTTGCGTTAGCTTAAACAAACTTTGCCCAACAGGAGCCAATTTGTCCTTGAGGGATCCCACTAAGACCTCAGCTAAGGCCTCGATGTCAACACAATTTTCCGGGATGGGGCTTGGTATATGTATGTCACCAACTCAGGATGGTTTTCCTAGGCCTTTTCCTGGGACACTTCAAGCACGCAACCCAACATGGCCCATCTTCGCCTGTCACGAGGGGGGGTGCTGAAGGGTATCCCCTTCAGGACGTGAGCCTCCGTTTCTCGAGGTACGGCGTGGTGGCGGGCGGCGGGTTTTGGGTCCTGAAGCAGGCCGCGAAGCACGAGGCGCTGAATGAAGGGCGACAACGACCGCGCCAAGTCCAGCCCGCCGGCGGAATTTCGGCCACGGAGTTTTTTTGTTTTGTTTTTATTTTTACCGTCCAAAGCGAGTCGAGCTGATCTGGCAGTGGGTCAAAGCCAATGGGATCCCATTTTGGGGTAGGGGCACCACCCATTTTAGTGGGATATTCACTGGAGGTACGATTTTTATTTTGACCCATGGCCATCTGACCTTTTGGTTTGCCCAGTTTGGTCCATTTTTAGTCATGGCGCCAAAAGGTTAACCTTCTATTTCCAGGTCTGGCAATGGAGTTCCAGCTTTCACCTGATAGCCAGTCAGAGTTCGGAAAGAACATTTGTTTTCCAGGGCCTTTGGTTGCAAGAAGGGGCTTTGTGTCGAAAAGGATCCCGAATTCCCACTTTTTGATTGAAAGACTCGACCTCGGATTCTCGAAATTCTGAGCCACGCCTCGAGTTCTTGGTTTTTTGTGTTGGGCGCGCTGCCACCCCCCCTCAACATCTGCCTTTTGGACAGCACTTAGCGTCATGGCAGAAGGCAGTCCTGGTGCTACTCGGACCTAATCTAATTTTGCAAAAGTCACAGACCTCCAACGGCGAACGGGGGCTACAGGGGGGGGGGGGGTGAATTCCCTGGATGTGCCCCTAGGGGCGTTTTAAGGGTTTAATCTTTCGGAGATCCATGAGCCGTTTGTTGGCCAGTTCGCTGTTTGCATCCTCAAGTCCAAGAGCCCTCCAACATACCTTTTGAGCATCCCCCCAGCTGTCCATGAAGATTCCTTTCACAGGGTGTCCGGGGTATGCTCAGAAGGTATGTTGGAGGGTTCTTTTTGATCAAAGGGCGGTGGGAAGGTTTGGCCCGTGTGAGACGCTGAAATTGTCTGCTTTCCTTTTGGTTTCACTGTAAACCCAACCAATAGCGGGGGGGTGGATGTTAGGACTTTGACTTTTTGCCGACTAATGGGTTTTCCATTAGACCACAAAGAGTTAAACTTTTAGCAGGGGAGCAGAAAGCAACCGAGTTAAGTGCTCTTTGATTTGGCCCGAAACAGCCTTGCATCTTTCCGAAGATACAGCCGCTGACTTCCCCCATGCGACCGGAGGCCCAAGGTGAAGCTTTCCAAGGTGAAGCTTTCCAAGGTGAAGCTTTCCAAGGTGAAGCTTTCCAAGGTGAAGCTTTCCAAGGTGAAGCTTTCCAAGGTGAAGCTTTCCAAGGTGAAGCATCACCAGAAGCATCACCAGACCCCTGGATCATTCTTAAGGATATGCTGAAACTTAGAGTAGCTAAGGGGGTAAACAAGCCCTAGACAAGGCTTAAGCGTCATACTTCTTTTTTTCGGCTTCTCGCCGTTTGTTCCCGGCCCTGTTCCGACAAAGGTACAGAAGGCCTCACTACGAGTGAGCGGAGCCAAAGAAGGGAGCGAGGAGAGGCGCAGGCGATAGAAAGCTCGGCCACGAAGCCAGGCCCTACTTGTAGGTTTCTAGATTTTAGAGGGTTTTAGAACTTGTGATATGTCGGTTGCTGCACTGAAAGTTCAACTTTGAGCAAGGGATTTATGCACCAGATTCTTTGTTTAGGTCTCACCCGAGGTGCTGTCTGAGAGACGCATCTCGCGTTCCCTCTGTGCGTCAAGACCAGGACGACAATGTAAATTGTTGCGAACAGACGGTGCCCTTTGCACAGGGGCCAAAAGGCGGCGCGGAACGCATAGGGTTCCCTTTCTCAGTCGTTGGCTGTCCTTTTGAAGAGTCTTGGCCCATTTTGGCATCTGAGGTAAGGTCCCAAGGTCAATGCTTAGCCTTTGTCCAGGCCCTGGGTGAGTCTCGAGTCAAGCTGGAAAGGCTACCTGTTGCCCACCAATCTTCAGGTGGAAACAGCCCGTGAGGCCTGGCTGCCTGGCTTTCTTGTTATTTGGATCCCCCAAGCGACCTTTTTACTTCCATGGGCTCTTAAAATATGTTGATTTGCCCTTGGTTTTAAAGGTATCCACTACTGGAGGAGTGTTGTTTGATTTTTCCCCAGAAACCTTAAGCAAAGGGAAGTTGGACTTTTGGTCTAAGATTGGTCCAGTTTGACCGCGCCCTAAAATATGCCTTCCCCACGTTCTTCCTGCGGTTCTTTCGCACTCTGGGAAAGTGAGTATATAGTATAGGTATTTGTGAAGATTGGGGAATGGGTGGTTTTCCCCTTTGTTTCCTTTAAAATTATCAAAGAACGGCACGCAAACCATGTCAAGCAACGAAAAAGCCAACCACCAAAAAAGGGTACCAACCAACAAAAGAGCATGGTTGTTGTTGACATTTTACATGTTTGCTTATTGTGGTTTCGTGGGAAATCCCCACTGAACTGCTAAAATTTAAATGTGTCCTCCCCTTCCAACGTCAACCAAGAAAGGGTTTCCTTTTTGTTTCCTTTAAAATCATGAAAGAAGGGTACCGAGTCGCAACAAAAAGTCAACCAACAAAAAAACCAACCACCAAAAAAGGGTACCAGCCAACAAAAGGGTACCATCAACCACACATCCAGATGAACTGGGGTAAACTTAGGATATATTTTACATTTTTTTCCAATGACTCAAAGTGAAGCAAACCTTAAAATATTCATTCTATAACTGGTCCCCACTCTAATCGTGTGAGCTAGACACATACCCAAGGGTACCAACTAACAAAAACAAGTGCCAACAAAGAACACACATCCATAGGAAGTCCTATGCATTTGGCTCCGCCATTTGCCAGGCCTGAGCGCCTCAGCGCCGGTTTCGCCCAGCGAGGTGGCCGTGCCCACCCAGCTGCCGGGCACCCAGCGAGGTCGCGGCCAGTCGCCTTCTCCAGTGGCCACCCGGCCTTTCCGGAGCCCAAGGCTTGCCTCGGATGGTTCCCAGCCATCCGGCTCCTTAGCCCTTCTTAGATTTTGAGTGAGGGGAAGTTTTCCATGTAACCCAGTATTTTTTAATAAAACAAAAAAAAAACTTTTGGTGAGGTGATCTCAAAACGGACAGCACAGTTACACTGGTCAACAAGGAAGAAAGTGGCACTTCCTCACCTTTCGTGTGATTTGGATATGCTCCTTAGGCGCACTTCTGACTTTAGACCCAGTGCTTCCAGCGGAACACTTCGAAATCGAGAAAAATGGCTACCGACTAGGGTAACTCGGATCCACTGGTTTTGGTTGTGCCACGGTTTCCGACTGTTAAATGGAAGTACTGGAAAGAAACTTGCGGATGGCAAATAGCGGATGATTGTTTGTTGTTTCAAGGAGCTTCAATGGGGGGTGTGCGTAATTGTTATTTTTCCAGACCCCCTATTCGACACCCTCTTATTCAGCGCATATCGAGGTTTTGTGGTTGGACGTTTTGTACTGTTCACGGCTTGAAGTGTGCACTCCAAAACCACAGTCCCTCAACAGAAGCCCCCACAATGCCCTCAGTGATCCCAGTTGCCACTATGACCAAGGAAATTGTTTACCGCTTAGTTTTGCATGACGGCTGGACTACCCCTTAAGGTGTCCTTTTTTGTGGCTTTAAGCCGCAAGGAAAGCTTTACCCATGGTAGTGGGTCCCCTAAAACCCGGCTCCCCCAAGGCTGTTTTGGACCCGCAGACCTGCGAAGCAAACCTGAGCAACGCCAAGCAGCAACTGATCCGTGGGAAGGGGCCCTCTGGATTGGAGAACGCAGTTGGCGCCGTCACAGCCTTGGGCATCCGACCAAAAGCTGAGATGCACTCCTTGCGTTGAGTGGCGCCCACCCGTTCAATTCCGAGGCCTTCCCCGACCATGCGAGAAGAGGTCCGGCTTTGTTTCTCTGGGCGGACTGGGATTCAGACACACGGAGGTGTTATCTTTGTGTTTTTGATGGGGCGCCCCTTCAAAATCAACTGCTAAAAAGAGAGTGCCCGTTTTCCCATGGCCACTGCGGGTCCGGGGAAGTTGTTCTTGAAGGTGTTCCTCATGGAACAAAGACTAGTCTTGCTTTGTTTGAGTGAAAAGTCTGATGTTTGGTAGTTTGGTTGGCAAAAGCTGAGGCATTCTTTCCTGTCTTCATGTAGTGGGCCCATGTTTGACCTTTGTGGGGGGAGTGAACTGATGAGCCGCGTCCTGCAAACATGGGTAGATGAAGGTTAGTCAGAGAGCAGACCCGGAACCCGGCCAAGGAATCGTGGGAGGGTCGGGGTATGCTCATACGGTATGTTGGAGGGTTCTTGGATTGAACAGCACGCCTGCAACCCGGTGCAACGACCTTCAGTGTGTGCTTTCCCTTCCCTTTTTGGACGGGTTCCTGTTTACTTTTCGGCCTGCTTGGAAAATTCAAACCTCGCAAAGCCTCAAGCCGAGTGACTGTCTTGGGAAACTAAAGGCCATGATCAGGTTCTCAGACCCGGGTGAACTTTCATAAGGATCTATTTGGTTGGAAGAAAACCCAGGGGTCCCCGCCCTTGTGGTACCTGAACCTGGGTTTGATTCCGAGAAGGCTCTCATAGCGTTAGGTGTTTGCTTCGGCCAAGCGCGTGCGCTTGCGCGCCTTGGCAAGCGTGTAAGCCGGAAGCTCGCTGGGTTCGACTGAGCCTGGCCAAGTAAGGACTATACAATACTAAGGCTCGCCCCAGGCGCAACGAGCAGAATCTTCCCATGTCCCTTCCTGAGTCCATGAAAGTGACCGGTTTGAGGGACTCTCAGAGTTACTGTTGGGGGTGGTTGTCGTTTTTGAGGATGTCTTACCCCCAAATGCACAATGGCCATGTCTTTTGTTGAGGGTGCCATTTTTCGCGGTTGCCTCAAAGAGAAACCGAAAAGAACCCCACCCGTTTTTGGGGTTCCCCTATTGGAGACAAACCCACCCTGCGGCCGGCATCGACACCTCGAGTACTCGTTACTCTCAGCGTACCGTTTGGGGTAAGCAGAACTAGCTATGAGCCATGAACAATGAAGCGAACATTGGGTTGCGGTGCGAAAACAGCATCTTCAGATACCGCACCGGGTCTTGGTTCATTTTGACCGCCGGACGGGCATCAACGTCGAAAGCCCCGCTAAGGACTCTGCAACAACTCACCTCAGTTTTTCAGTGGCACCCGTTTTCCCCTTTTCTTTAGTGGGCTGCCTCTTCCCCAAAAAGGGTTCCCCTTTTTTTTCCAGGGCTGAGCAACTGAGCCGCCGGCGAGCGCGTTTTTTCGTGTCACGCCAGGAGATCGAGGTGGACACCGCAACAGTCTCCGCAAGAGACGCCGGCTGAGCTCCAGAGTGATCAATCCCTGGACTAGGTCCCCCAGCAATTGGTGCCCTTTTTTACCCTTTCTTTGGTTGGGAGGGTTCAAACCGACTAAAATAGACGTGAAGGAAAAAGTTGGTACTCTTATTCGAACCTCTCTACTGGAGGACCTAGTTGAGGAATCCCAAAGGGCTGTGGCTCAAAAAAAGAGTACCAAAATGGGTTGCTCTGGTAAGATGGAAACATAGACCAAAACCTGTCGGTTTGCCCCTCCTGTAAAAATCTTGAGCCACAGCCCTATGGCCATGGTTTGAAACCAATGGTACCATTTTGGGATAAGTGCACCACCTATTTTAGTGGGGATTGGAATGTTCACTGGGGGTACAGGGTTTTGACCCATGGCCATTGGTAGCACAGAAAGGGCGATTCTCCAAACCATGTATCCACTGGATGGTCCTCCGTCACAAAAAAGGATCTTTGTTTGGGGTCTTGTGTGATGTTGATAATTCATTAAAGACACACCAACAAAAACAACAAAACAAAAATATTATGAGGACCAGTCGCCTAATGGATAAGGCGTCATTGTCTCGATCTCAATGAGATTGCAGAACACATGAAAATGGTGGTTCGAGTCCACCCTGGTCCGAGGATTTTTTTTTTGGGGGTTGTTGTTGTTGCTGCTACTCAGCGAAATCCAACGAACAGCTGGCTTGCAGGTTGAGTTTTGTTTGCAATCAAGGTTTTGGAATTTGGGCGTTGTCTAGTCTATATAAAGGGATACCTCGGTGGAGATGCTTGTAGGACAGGTGGGTGTTCTGTGGTCAGCCATCTCGGCAACCGAGAAGGTACACCCAAATACTTTCTGAACTGCAGGATGATCAGCTCAAATGAACTATCTGGGCGTTCCGCCAAGTTCACTAAGCAATCACCTGAGTCACCACAGTTTTGCCTCCCTCCTCTCACGGAGACTCATAAGTACGCAGATCGGGCAATCGCCTACATGTCTGACCATGTACCAACAGGGCCCGAACACCCATGTGCTGAAGGTGTTTCTCGTTTGTTTGGGTGTTCCTCGGATCCGGGACCCGTTTGATAGCCGTTCTAAACCCCGTGCTTCATTTTGTTTGGTAAATCGCGGCGGAAGCTTATAGCTAAAGCATAGCAACTGTTTAGATCCCGTGCTTTCGTAAGTAGACGTAACGTGTTGTGTTTTTTCTCTGCGCGGAAGCTCTGCCGACACTTTTTGTATATGCAGCCGCATGGGCTGAAGCTCCTACGTTTTACTTGGAAATGCGAGAACTTTTTTTGGGGGAGGGGCGGTACAAGGAAGAGGCTTTGGGTGTGTCTCAAACTTAATTGACCCTCAAAAAGGGTGGTGTGCTGTTGGCTTTCCTCTCAAGCCATCCAAAACTCGCTCCCTGAGTTCATGGAGTTTAGACATTTTGAGAAGACCGTTTTGGTGGTAAACAAGAAGATCCTGGACTTTTTGTTGGCCCATCCGCTCGTTCGCAGTGAGAAAACGGGCACCCTCAAACACGACACGCAATGCGGCATCCATCCATTGCGAGCCCAGGATGGGACGGTGCCGCGCTTGAAGCCGCCGCCGCAACCTCGGATTTGAGAGTCGAATCGGAGGTGTTTGGACTGTGCGCAATGCTACTATGCACCTCGTACATCAAAAAGCCGGCGAAAAAAGAGGGTCTGGCAAATAACCAGATCCTCTTTTTTGTTGGTGGTTGATTTACAAGGCATGCGGCATGCCTGAACAAATCTGAACATAGGGGAAGCTGAACAATGGTGGTGTCACTCTTGGTGTCCCTTGAAGCCAC